CTCCTCCTCCTTCTCTTCCTTCCTCCTTCCTCCTTCTTCCTCCTCCTCCCCTTCCTCCTCCTCCTGCTCCTCCTCCTCTCCTCCCCCCACAGGCGGATACTCCTCCCAGTCCAACTACAACTCCCCGGGCTCCCAGAACTACAGCGGCCCCCCCAGCTCCTACCAGGCGTCGCAGGGCGGATACGGCAGGAACGAGCACAGCATGAGTTACCAGTACAGATAAACCCCCGTTCTTCCTCCTCCTCCTCCTCCTCCTCCTCCTCCTTCCCTCCGGATCCTCCGGATTTTATCCCCTTTTTCCCATTTTTCCCCCTTTTTTCCCCCCCAAAATCCCGTTGCTCTGTGTGACCCCCGTCACCTCCGGGCCTCTATTTAATGGGTCGTAGTTGCCACGACGACTTGGTTTAAATAGGATTATTATTATTATTTTTTTTTTGTGGGGGGGGTTTTTGGTTTTGGTTTTTTTTTGGGGTTATTTTTTGAGGTTTTGGGGTTTTTTTGGGGAAGTCGATCCGATTCCGGAGCCTTTTCCCAGGCCCCGGCGAAGGGAGGGGCCCTCGTTGTTCTGCTTTTGTGAAGTGCGTTAAAAAGGAGCTTTTTTCGGTATTTTTTGGTGGTTTCAGTTTGTTTTTTTGGGGAAGGGGGTTGTGGGAGGGGGGTGGAGATGAATAAACCCCAAAATTTGGGATGGTTCAGGTTCCCGATGCGTCGTCGTGCAAATCCAAAGGTTCAAAGTGTGGAGGAGTCTCATAAAAATAACCCCAAATTCCAAGTGTTGGTTCGTGAAAATCCTTAGGTGCAGAACTGGGGCCGGACTGGGACAGGACTGGGGCTGAACTGGGACAGGACTGGGGCCAAAATGGGGCTGAACTGGGACAGGACTGGGGCTGAACTCGGACAGAACTGGGGCCAAAATGGGGCTGAAATGGGACAGGACTGGGGCTGAACTGGGACAGGACTGGGGCTGAACTGGGATAGCACTGGGGCCAAAATGGGGCTGAACTGGAGCTGAACTGGGGCTGAACTGGGACAGGACTGGGGCCAAAATGGGGCTGAAATGGGACAGGACTGGGGCTGAACTGGGGCCAAACTGGGGCTGAACTGGAGCCAAGCTGGGGCTGAACTGGAGCCAAGCTGGGGCTGAATTGGGACAGGACTGGAGCCAAACTGGGGCTGAAATGGGGCCGAACTGGGGCTGAACTGGAGCCAAACTGGGGCTGAACTGGAGCCAAACTGGGGCTGAATTGGGGACAAACTGGGGCTGAAATGGGGCTGAAATGGGACAGGACTGGGGCCAAAATGGGGCTGAAATGGGACAGGACTGGGGCTGAACTGGAGCCAAACTGGAGCTGAACTGGAGCAAAACTGGAGCTGAACTGGGACCAAACTGGGGCTGAACTGGGACCAAACTGGGGCTGAACTGGGGTCTCGTGGCTCCTTTGGATGAGCCTGGTGCCACTGGCTCCAGATCGCTCCGTGCCGGAGCCGGATCCTGGAAACACCGGGAACGGGGCCTGGAATGTGTCAGATACCGGGGAAACACCGGGAACGGGGCCTGGAATGTGTCAGATACCGGGGAAACACCGGGAACGGGGCCTGGAATGTGTCAGATACCGGGGAAACACCGGGAACGGGGCCTGGAGCGGGGCACGGCCTCTCAAACACCGGGAACGGCTCCTGGAGAGGGGCACGGCCTCTCAAACACCGGGAACGGCTCCTGGAGCGGGGCACGGCCCCTCAAACACCGGGATCGGCTCCTGGAGCGGGGCACGGCCTCTCAAACACCGGGAACGGCTCCTGGAATGTGTCAGATTCCGGGGAAACACCGGGAACGGCTCCTGGAATGTGTCAGATACCGGGGAAACACCCGGAACAGTTTCTGGAACAAGGCACGGCCCAGCAAACATCGGGAACGGGGATTGGAATGTGTCAGCTCCGGGAAACCCCGGAAATGGGGCTTGGAATGTGTCAGATCCCGGCAAACACCGGGAACAGCTCCTGGAACAAGGCACAGCCCAGCAAATACCGGGAACGGCTCCTGGAACAAGGCACGGCCTCTCAAACACCGGGATCGGCTCCTGGAGCGGGGCACGGCCTCTCAAACCCCGGGATCGGCTCCTGGAATGTCTCAGATCCCGGGAAACACCGGGAACAGCTCCTGGAACGAGGCACAGCCCAGCAAATACCAGGAACAGCTCCTGGAACAAGGCACGGCCTCTCAAACACCGGGAACGGCTCCTGGAACGTGTCAGATCCCGGGAAACACCAGGAACGGGGCTTGGAACGTGTCAGATCCCGGCAAATACCGGGAACGGCTCCTGGAACAAGGCACAGCCCAGCAAATACCAGGAACGGCTCCTGGAGCGGGGCACGGCCTCTCAAACACCGGGAACGGCTCCTGGAATGTGTCAGATTCCAGGGAAACACCGGGAACGGCTCCTGGAATGTGTCAGATTCCGGGGAAACACCGGGAACGGCTCCTGGAATGTGTCAGATACCGGGGAAACACCCGGAACAGTTTCTGGAACAAGGCACGGCCCAGCAAACATCGGGAACGGGGATTGGAATGTGTCAGCTCCGGGAAACCCCGGAAATGGGGCTTGGAATGTGTCAGATCCCGGCAAACACCGGGAACAGCTCCTGGAACAAGGCACAGCCCAGCAAATACCGGGAACGGCTCCTGGAACAGGGCACGGCCTCTCAAACCCCGGGAACGGCTCCTGGAATGTGTCAGATCCCAGGAAACACCAGGAACGGGGCTTGGAACGTGTCAGATCCCGGCAAACCCCGGGATCGGCTCCTGGAGCGGGGCACGGCCCCTCAAACCCCGGGAACGGCTCCTGGAATGTGTCAGATCCCGGGAAACACCAGGAACAGCTCCTGGAATGTGTCAGATCCCGGGAAACACTGGGATCGGGGCTTGGAATGTCTCAGATCCCAGCAAACCCCGGGATCGGCTCCTGGAACGTGTCAGATCCCAGCAAACCCCGGGATCGGCTCCTGGAGCGGGGCACGGCCCCTCAAAAACTGGGAATGACATCTGGAGTGGGGCACGGCCTCTCAAACACCGGGAACGGGGCTTGGAATGTGTCAGATCCTGGGAAACACCGGGATCGGCTCCTGGAACACAACAGATCCCAGGAAACCCCGGGATCGGCTCCTGGAACACGACAGATCCCGGGAAATCCCGGAATCGGCTCCTGGAATGTCTCAGATCCCGGCAAACACCCGGAACAGCTCCTGGAATGTGTCAGATCCCAGGAAACCCTGGGATCGGCTCCTGGAATGTCTCAGATCCCAGGAAACCCCGGGATCAGCTCCTGGAATGTCTCAGATCCCAGGAAACCCCGGGATCGCGGCCCAGATCGAGGCACATTCCAGCTCCGGGGCCCCTTCCCCACCCGGGTCCGTCGGGACGGCGGCACCGACACCCGCCAGGCTCCAGCCCTTTTATTAAAAACATCGGATATAAATTAACGCCAGGGCGGCGGATCCCGGCGGATCCCAGCGGATCCCAGCGGATCCCAGCGGATCCCGGATCCATCCCGAATAACCAAGGAACGGCTCGGAGGGACAGGAGTGACCACGGCCAGGGACACCAGGAGGGCTCAGTCAGTGGATCCCGGTGACACCAGTGGATCCCGGTGATACCAGGGGATCCCGGTGATACCAGTGGATCCCGGTGATACCAACAGATCCCGGTGACACCAGTGGATCCTGGCACAGTCAGGGACACCAGGAGGGCTCAGTCAGTGGATCCCAGTGCCACCAGCAGATCCCAGTGAGAGTCAGTTGATCCCGGCACCAGCAGCAGTTCCCAGTGAGTCAGTGGATCCCAGTGAGAATCAGTGGATCCCAGCGCCACCAGCAGATCCCAGTGAGAATCAGTGGATCCCAGTGCCACCAGCAGATCCCAGTACCACCAGCAGATCCCGGCAGCAGCAGCAGATCCCAGTGACAGTCAGTGGATCCCGGTGACAGTCAGTGGATCCCAGTGAGACTCAGTGGATCCCGGCGCCAGCAGCAGATCCCAGTGACAGTCAGCGGATCCCAGCACCAGCAGCGGATCCCGGCACCAGCAGCAGATCCCAATGACAGTCAGCGGATCCCAATGACAGTCAGTGGATCCCAATGACAGTCAGTGGATCCCGGCACCAGCAGCAGATCCCAGTGACAGTCAGTGGATCCCGGTGAGAATCGGTGGATCCCAGTGACAGCAGATCCCAATGACAGTCAGCGGATCCCAATGACAGTCAGCGGATCCCAATGACAGTCAGTGGATCCCGGCACCAGCAGCAGATCCCAGTGACAGTCAGTGGATCCTGGTGAGAATCGGTGGATCCCAGTGACAGTCAGTGGATCCCAGTGACAGTCAGTGGATCCCAGCAGCAGATCCCAGCCCTCCCAGCCTAGGGACACTG